TATTTAAAAATTTTAGTTAATTGTATTTGAATTTTTAGAATTTTATTCATTATAATTGAATATTAATTAATTATATGTAAAAGATAAAAAAAATTTATAATTTAATATTAATCGGTGAGGAATGGAAATTCTTGTGAGGAATGGGGATAGGGGGCAAAATCTGCCCTCGTAAAAAATCCCCACAAGGATCCTCGTTCCCACCATTTGCGGGGACAAGGACAAGGATGGGGCAAGGACAGGGATGGGGACAGGGACGGACTCCCAACCCCGCGGGACCTTGTTGACATCCCTAATCACATAGGTCACATTACGTCCAAGCAAGCTGTGAAATCCATTCAAATTAGAGAACCGTTAGTTTTTAACGGAATATTGACATGGTCGTTAAATAGGGTTGATTTGCCATTGTTCATGAGTTTTAAGGGGTCATTTGCTAATAATTTCAGTTGAGGGGCTTTTTGGTCACCTCTTGACATGTTCAAGGGCTAATTTGCATGATTCACCTTAAAATTAATTCATTTTTGAACCATTTTAAAAGTACATCCTTATCACGTCAACCTCACGTATTAAAGAATATTTTAAACTTTTTTAATGCTAACTTCAATATTTGAATTTTAAATTTAACCGTATAAGATAGACACTTATTTATTAATGAATCTTATTATCAAATTGGTAACTTTTTTATTTAAAAAGGAAGTTAGTATACATCAGTGGGTTTTTTTTTTTTTTTTTCCGGCTAACACTACACATCTGTTGTTCTAGAATTTTGTTATATTGACAATGAAGATGTTGCAAGTACAACATTTTTGGTATAATATCTTGCACAACGTGATTAGTATTAAATGAGTACATAGATACATAGAATATTAACATTGACTTTAAAAAAATATTTCATGCAAAGTTTTTCTTTAGAAAAAAAAAAGAAAAGAAAATCAAACCACAATTATTTGAAAAATAGAGGGACTAGGAAAGAATAGAAAGTCATGGATTGTTTTCCATGTTGGAATGAGACATAGTTTGTGTGGGCTATAGCTAATATGAGCTATTAATTGGGATACATGGAATACTTATGTATTTTAGTAGGTTAAAATTGTATTGTTTTTTTCATTTTAAATATCGACCGTTAGCTTGTATATATAGTGTGTTTGGCAGTAAACTGCTTTTGTGTCCCCTTAGTAGCAAATCTCAAGCTGTTGGGTTAAAGCACATTCTCATTAGTATGGGAGGAAAGTGCACCCGTCCAAAAATTTTAGAGTGGAAAACTGCTTTGCAGGTGCGAGGCACATGTTTTAATATACGTTTTAAGCAAGTTCTGCTAGTTTTAATCTTGGGCAAATACCCTTTCCCTATTCCTTGTCCCATTGTTCCATCCAAATTGGAGGTGATGCGCTTTATCCACTCATATGACTTAAATATGAAACAAGACTTTAATTTAGATAAAATTTTGATTAAAATTTTTTTTAAAAAAATAAAATTGTCACCGAGTTATTGGTGTAATTAACATCAAAGTTTTCAATGACACACTAGTATGAGACTAAAAAGCCTTTACACTACTGAAAGTGGATATATAAAAATATATCTGTATATATTTTTCAACTTTTGCGGAAATATGTAGTGCGGAAGCACAAAAATCATCAGATATGAAACTTGAGAAGTAACGTTTCACCCATGCTTCTGAAGATAATAAATTTTATTAAAGAGAGTATATGGAAGTACTCAAACCTGTTAATTGCAAGTTATAGAAAATGTAATTAAGAGTGAAAAATTACGGGGATTGAGATAAGTGGGTGGTGATGTACATAAAGAGGCATAGGCAGTGGCAGAAATTGTTTATGCACAATTAGAATTCGTGCATGTCACAACAATTGTTGGAGATTCCACGAAAGGCCGTGACTATTTGCCTCCTTTCTAAGACAACATTAATTTTTTCAAGTGGTCGTCCATTTCGGAATTTGGAAATATTTAATATTCTTTTAAAAACA